GCTACCCAATCCTCACTTTCAAGCTTGTATCACTTTAAAAAGCCTGACTCCTTATGCCTGCTCTATCTTTACAAGAGTCAGATCAGACCAAAAATGGTGTATTGCTGCCATATCTGTAATCAATCCTTTTCTAAAAAAAAGTACCTGACTCCTTATGTCCTGCTCTATCTTTCCAAGAGTCAGATCAAATGAAAAATGGTTTATTGCTGCCATATCTTGGCTGGAGCTGCCAAATCCTCACTTTCCAATTTGTATCACTTTAAAAGTACCTGACTCCTTATGCCCTGCTCTATCGTTACAAGAGTCAGATCAGACCAAAAATGGTGTATTGCTGCCATATCTGGGCTGGAGCTGCTCAATCTCCACTTTCCAGCTTGTATCACTTTAAGAAGTACCTGAATCCTAATGGCCTTCTCCCTCTTTACAAGAGTTAGATGAGACCAAAAATGGTGTATTGCTGCTATATCTAGAATGGAGCTGCCCAGTCCCCCCTTTTCAATCTTGAGAGTGCAAAAGAATCTAAAACACCTTGTCAGTGATGAATTATTTTCCACCCTACAACTCCTTTACCACGGATGAAACATAGCCTCTTGCTATTCTGTCGTTATCTTCATGGCAGATGTTTGGGTAAACTACATTCCTTCATTCCACCTGTCCAGACCTCTACACTTAGGACTTGCCATGCCACATATACAGGTTCAAGTTACCCTCATTCCCTTTATATTCAATTTTTTAGAAAGAAGTTCCCTTCGAACAGATTCTTGCCTGGAGCTGCTGCTTTATGGAACAGACTTCTGGTAGTATGCTTCCCTAATCACTACAGTCTTAATGTTTTCAAACCTAGAGTCAACTGGTATATATCCTGCATATCCTGATAATCTGCACTACATAACTCCTCTTGTTATGTCCATAAAACAACCTCATTCAGTAACCTTATGCTTTGAGTGGCTCTTGGCCCTTGTATTGGGTGAAAAAAAAAGAAGAATCTCCCTGTGACATCATGAAGAATCCAGTCTCCTTTTCTTCCAATTTGGTAAAATGTTATCACCTCTTGCAAGCTTATCAGTGATAAACTTGTCCTGCATTCCCTAAAGGACATTTGTGATGGATAAAATAAATGCCAATTCTTTACTTGGATTAAACGATATCTTTTCTTTTTCTAGTTTTGTATTAATGTAAATAATTTTGTTAGGTTATGTTAGTTAATTTTAAAGACATACCAACCCATATTAGGTTATTTAATGTTGAATATAAGTTTTGATACAAATAAAGCAGAAAGCTGACTTTGCTTTTGTGTCTGTTATTTACATGTGTTGCATTGAAAGACATCTGACATTATGGGATATTAATTAAAGTTGTCCATTCATCTCAATATTATCCAAACTTTTCCAAGATTGTTTTTATCAACCAACATACATACATTTACATAGAATGTAAATCAAACTGGATCAATTCAGATTTCAGTACTGAAATGAAAAATTTGAAAAATGAATTATTTTGATTACTTCTTTATTATAATCAATAAAATAAATGAAAATGTATTATTTAGAGTTGAACTAACATCCTCATCTTTGTTGCTTTCACATCGTTTTGGCTGTTGTGCTCTCTGGCCTTATTTACGCATATGTTATATATAACTTCAAATTCAACTGTTTATTTAAATAATGAGTGTAGATTCTCATTCTGTTGTCTAAGTTTTTAGGATGTGTTATGTCTTCATCTTTGTAGATTAAATAAAGGGTTAAATTTAGTGGAATTCAAATAAGCTAGCCCCATAGACTAAATGATGATTTTAGTTTGAAATTCTCTAAAGGTTACCTGGATTGATACACGTAAAAAGGCTAAAGAACATAATAGCAGAGATGTTGTGATGATAACAACAATGATGAGGACTTTAGCTAGACTAAATAATGCAAATAATGGTAGGTGTGCATCCCAGAAATTTACACAGATAAAGGTTGTTCAATTTTGTGATAAAATCTTTTTACATAGCAACGACAAAGTTTCACTTCTTGCTATAATAAGTTCTTCCTCTTCTGCCAAATAAAAAATAAATTTTGAGCTTATATTTCACTCTGTTTGTTCTGCTGTATCTTTACTTCAACCATACACTTTTCACTGTTGTCAGCTGGTCTAAAATGGCAACAAATCCTCAGTGATACTCAAATCAATAATAAGTTTTTTATGATATATTTACCAAAGGTAATGTTTAAAGATGGTTTTGTTTAATAAAACAACAAATCAATATATCCATGTCAATTTACCAGGACTAAGAACAAAAAAAAAAGATGATATTCATTTTTTTTGTATCACATAAGTAGTTTATTGATTACAGTTCAGTACTGCAGCTATCAAGTTGCATCTGCAAAGTAGTGATAATAGGTTCAGTCCTTATTAAATGCTACCCAAATATGATCATCACTATTCCAATGGATATGTGTAAGTGAAAGTCAAATTTTCAGTGAAAATGTGACAAGCATATGAAATGACATGTACTCAAAACAGATGTTACAGAGTTCAATATGCCTACTAAATGCTTCATTTGATATTGCATTATATGAATTTTGTACTCAAGATCTGGCAGAAGTTGGTGCTGTTGGGAATTGGCCATGAAATAAAAATAGAAAGAAAAACTTGACAAAATCTTAAATGTATGCGTGTTCTATTTTATTTAGGTTGATGTGGATAAACATGAGTTAAGCAAAAAAAGCTGTCAATAAAGAACTAGAAAAGATGGTTTTGGGTGAACTGGGGCAGTTTTAGGTTTTAAATATTTTCAAGATAATTTGTAGACTCTTCTTTAGCTTCTGTAATTCTGCTTATAGCTAGTATTTTCTGATGGAAATTTTTGATATTTTATTGATTTTGGTTTTTAACATTTCCACTTTTTATGTGCAGCAGTTCAATGTTACAAAATTTGCTTATCTCTTGATATTTATTTATTGTTCTATAATTCACCAAATGTCTATTTTTTTTTTTTTTTGTCTGTCATTGCATAACTCAAAGATGTCTAGAGCCATGATCAAGAAATTTTCTGTGGTTCCAAATTGGACAACATAGCCTGTTATTAGTTTTTTTAAACTTTCTAAACTTTTAAAGTTTTTAGCGAGAGATTCGATTTAATTCATAAGAATAATGCTAAACTAAGTTCTTACTTTGTGTGAAGTAGATTAGCTAAACTGAATCTTTATATTTTTGTTTAAGCATATACAGAAGATATCTAGCTGAAATTTCCTAACCAGCAATCAAAGTTATAACCATTTTACAATTATATTTTTTCTGGTCACTGGAAAATCAGAACTGCTGTGTTTACCTACATAGTATAAATAGTGATTTCCAGGGTCCATAAATGTTGCTGGTTTTCTTACAATCATCAAAGTGAAGCAAAATTGAGCCTGGTCAGTACCTAGATGAGTGACCATATCAGAATACCAGATGTTGTAAGCTTGGATGTGTCAGTGTTGTGATGGATAACAGCTTGGAATTGCAAATTGGATATTTTAGTTAGGTTCCTTCCATTCACTTATGTGCAAATACTTATGGGAAAAGTATGAATCTATCTCTTCTCCCTCACCTGTGGGTTAATTAGTAGAACTTGTATCAATAAATTATTATATCCAAAATCTTCTTACAATCTAAAAAATTTTTCTGGCTTTTTCTGGCTTGATAAGCGATAAAAATAAATGAATCAATCAATCAATCAACCAAACATAAATGATGTTTATTAAGAGAAATTCAGGGTTATACCTGTTTAAATACTGTAATAAAAAATGGGGTGGATAAATGTTGATTCTGTTTACACAACAAACTTTGAAGCAAAAGGAGACTTGTATATAAAAAAAATGTTGTCTATCCAGAAGACTTTTCTTGACTAAGATGTGATGATTCCACAAAAGATAGATAAGTGCACAAATTTGAAGATTTCCATATTTCATAAAAATCCAATAAAAAAAAATCAAAAATTTCTTTTTATATATATATATATATATATATATATATATATATATATATATATAATATAGAGAGATAGAGATACTTGAAATCTTCTGTAAAATCCTCTGTGGACATGGTGCAGTGATCTCTTATTTGTACCAAAGGCCCTATTTAAGCCTTCTTTAGGCAATAATAATGATACATCAACACAGTCGAGAATATAGTCATTATGAACTTCATTATCTTATCAATGGCTGCATAGTATGTACTATGACAAGGCTACATACAGTTTTGAATTCAGCTATCATTTTCCTAGACTGGTTACCAGCCATGGTTAATGTCTCGTCTGCCTTTTATTTAACCCATATCTAGCAGGGTGAAGAGATTTACTCATTACCTTTCCCATGGGTATTTGTGCAAAAGTGAATGTAATGAATTCTACTAGAATTTATTCGGCTTGCTGATTTCTTGTTCCAAGCCATTAAGCATTATGTCACCTGCCCATCCATTCTTCAAGGTACCAGCTTCAAATCCCACTTGTAGACATTCTGTTTTTTATTTTATTTTACTTATTTAGTTTAATTCTTGGCATGTAAAAAAAACTTATTGCTTTCCCTATTTGCATGTAAATAAAATTTCTTTATTTTCTCAATCTGTTGTACTAGTAAAAATAGTTTGGTTGTTTATGTAACAATGTTGAACATTAGACAAATGCCAATGTTTGTAATTTGTAAACTAAAAAGAATTATGAAATAATTTAGATAACATAAATCAATTTTTTATTTACAAGTCCTAAAACTTCTGACTTGTGCCATTTTTTATTATAGAACTGGTACATTAGTCTGCTTTAGTTGTATGTGTGCATATATCTACTGATCTGTGTAAATAAACACCTTTCTCATATATGTGTGCATGTATAAAACGTTTGTATACATGTATGTACATGTTCATAAACAGGTATTTTGTGAGTGTATGTATGTTAATATTATGTACTGTTGTTCTGAATGTAAATATTTTCCCAGCCATTCATACTGCATTATCTATTTGAATGTTTCATTTGTGTTAATATGATTATATTTTTTACACCGTTCCTTCATTTCTCTCATCCATTTTTGTATCCTTTCTCTTTACTTTTTCTTTTTTCTCTGTCTTTTCTTGTTTTCTTCAATTCTCTTATGTCTTCTAATTTCTTCTTTCTTTCTGCCATTTTCTTTTTCTTCACTTTCATTCTTTCTCTCTCATTTCCTGTATTGCTAGCTTTATTTTTCTTCATTTCCTTTCTCTCTTTTTTCTTCATTTCCTTTCTCTCTTTTTTCTTCATTTCCTTTCTCTCTTTTTTCTTCATTTCCTTTCTCTCTTTTTTCTTCATTTCCTTTCTCTCTTTTTTCTTCATTTCCTTTCTCTCTTTTTTCTTCATTTCCTTTCTCTCTTTTTTCTTCATTTCCTTTCTCTCTTTTTTCTTCATTTCCTTTCTCTCTTTTTTCTTCATTTCCTTTCTCTTTTTCCCCCTTTTCCTTTCTCTCTTCTTTTTTCCGTCTTTTCCTTTCTCTCTTCTTTTTTCCCCCTTTTCCTTGTCTCTCTTCTTTTTCCCCCTTTCCTTGTCTCTCTTCTTTTTCCCCCTTTCCTTGTCTCTCTTCTTTTTCCCCCTTTCCTTGTCTCTCTTCTTTTTCCCCCTTTCCTTGTCTCTCTTCTTTTCCCCCCTTTCCTTGTCTCTCTTCTTTTCCCCTTTCCTTGTCTCTCTTTTTTTCCCCCTTTCCTTGTCTCTCTTCTTTTTCCCCTTTCCTTGTCTCTCTTCTTTTTCCCCCTTTCCTTGTCTCTCTTCTTTTTTCCCTTTTCCTTGTCTCTCTTCTTTTTTTTTCCTTGTCTCTCTTTTTTCCCCCTTTTCTTGTCTCTCTTTTTTCCCCTTTTTCCTTGTCTCTCTTCTTTTTCCCCCTTTTCCTTGTCTCTCTTCTCCCCCCTTTCCTTGTCTCTCTTCTCCCCCCTGTTCCTTGTCTCCCCCCCATTTCCTTGTCTCTCTTCTTTTCCCCCCTTTCCTCTCTTTTTTCTCAAACTCTTTTCTGCCTTACTTTTCTTGTTCTTCATTTCTCTCTCACTGAAGCACTATACTTTATAAATATATTCACAATGTTTTTTTATTTTCTGCCTGAAACAACTGCGGAAACTATTTTTTTGTTGCCTTTAAGTGATGTTTACTCCTACCAGTTTCGACGATATCAAATGCTTGATTTTTCCCTCCCTTCTTCCAATGCGTTTCACCTCATCCACCTTCCTTCTCTCGGCCAGTCTTTGTCATTCCTGTGCAAATACTTGTCACTGGGGAGTTGATATACACAGATCAATGAACTTATTTTCTCTTTGCATTTTGCAACTCCAAAAATCAAACACAACTCCAGTCATCGTCATGCTGTGGGGAATAAGCTTTTTGTTTATTTTTAACTCTCTATTATCTACATTTTATCTACAACACTTGCATATTGATTCTAGAACTTTGTTTTTTGAAAGATCAGTCAACACTGCAGCACTAACATTGTCAGCAGCTCCTTCAAAGGCAAATGGTTGGCTGTTGGGGAGGTGAACATAAGGATTAAAAGAGAAAATTAAAGAGAAGGGTCATATGAAGGAATGACTACAATAAGACCATAAAGTTCACCAATAGACTTTGGTCATTCATCACAGGCTTCACACAATGAGTCAGAGGGTTTGAGGTTTGGGTTGGTGTTTTTGGTAAAAATTAATAAGCATTTACTTTTATTTTTAGGGTTCTTTCTTATTAGTTGTTCCAAGGCCAAAGTTCACTTGTTGCTTTTATACTTATCTGTTTGAGCTTTCTACATCAAAATATACAGTTTTTGTTTACACAAGCCTTTTGTACTTTTCAAGATTGGTGGTGGTGGTAAGAAAGGTTCTCTTTTTTTCTGCCTTTTGATCCATCCTTCCATCTGCTTATTTCTGCTCATTGTTAGACATTGGTAATTCTGTTGATCACATCTGATAAATGTTCACTCGAGTTGTTTAGCACAAACGTTCTTGGGAAAGGCATGTACCCTGAAGCTTGAACCATATGAACAGATATTTGTACGTACTGAATAGGAAAATTATGTTTAAAAGAAAAGTAACTGTTTTAGAAAGTTTACAGAAATAAGATATAAAGGAGATGTGTGCTGCCAGATTCTAGTCACAAGCTCTTTCATGTTCAGCCAGTACAAGACCCAAGAGCCACACAAGGTTGATAGTTACTGACTGAGGTTCTTGTATGGCTGTAGGAGGAGGAATTAAGTGCAGATTATAAGAATATATATAGGACAGATAACAGATGACATTAAACTTGAAGAAGATTAATATTGTAATGATTGGAGATACCGCTTCTCTGGGGTCTGTTCCACAAAGTTTCAGTTTCTAGGAAAAAAATTGAGTAAAACTTACTTCTTACTAATAGAATATGAAGGGAATGAGGATGATTCAACACTGTATGTAGCATGGAGGGTTTTACCTGTAAAGGTCTGAACTAGTGACAACAGGGAATACAGCTCATCTGAACATTTCCCATGGAAATGGAGTAGTGAGGAATTTACAGTGTTTAATCTGTGGGAAAGGGGTTGTAGGATGTAAAATAATTTATTACTCACATGGCCATGTAGATGCTTTTGTAAACTCGGTTAAGGCTGGAAACTTAGGATTGGACAGCTATGTCCCAGATATGGCAGCAATACTCCATTTTTGTTTGATTAGACTCTTGAAAAGATAGAGCATGGCAGGATGAGTGACATACTTTCTGGAGTCTTACAGGGAACTGTCTATTTTCCCAGCATCTTTAACGATAAAACTTATAGTTCCACTTGCAGTCTGGGGTGAACTTTATTCCCAATAGATGTTCAAGGTAAGGAACCTCATTGAGAATGCAACCACTCATCATGACAGGAGAACGTTCAGAATCTGCTCAGTGATGATGAAATGTTACTAGTTTGGTTTTTGAGGGATTGAGTGTGACAAGCCAGTTTACCCTCTCCTACCACTGAACTGTTAGAGCTAGATCAGAGGGATGATCAGTATCCAGTCTCTACTTATCTAAATTTCTGCACTCATATACTGTAGTATTATCTGCATATATATTTACTATATAAATCTTAGAATGTTCTTCAGCAGACTGCTAACATAAAGCAGAAAGAGGGTAAGACCAAGGAGAATTTGGTTGGTTGATTTTGTTTAGTGGCAAATCAAGCTCTGTGAGTTATTTAATGCTGAAATCTAAATATTTTGAACATAATTTTATTGCTATATATTTTGAACGCAATTATACGCCTTTAGCTATACATAAAATGTATTGTTGTTTTTTTTGGGTTTTTTTTTATATATAAAAATGTATTGCTGGTATTTTTACTATAAAAATATATTTTTATACTTTCATAATGTTTTGTTTTTGCTTGGGGAAGTTTGTTATTTGTCCATAGCTAGGACTTTAACAGATCCAGGGTCAGGATGGGCCTGGGAACAACAGCAATTAAGAGGTGGTTCCACGATCCTCAAAATCTCTCATCTCTCGATCAGAGGCCTAGAACTACAAGGGAGAAAGAAAAATTAACATGATGTAAAGGAAATATGTATTGTCAGGTTCTAATGGACTCATAGAAACATTTTTGATAATTGTAGAGTATGATTGAACTTCTGGGAGTTTAATAAATTAAATTTAGTAAGTTTAGAATGGTTGTCTGGGATTGATGGCACTGACAGAAACTGAGAAAATAAGGAGAGAAGACAATAAAAGAACATTAGTCAAGGAGACAGAAGATGACAATTGACATTGCATTTAAAATTTTGAAGAAGTTAATAAAGCAAGAAGCCAGAAGAGTGTTCTGCAAGTGAGAAGTGTGGCAGAAGAAATTGTTAACATACAACTTATGGTTTAACAATTTCAACAATAAAATGATGAGACTGAGCTACCAGTCTAGTACTGCACTTACTTTTTGTATCCCCTTTAAGCAAAAAAAGCAGGAAGATGAAAATATGGCTTTTTTAGTCTTGCTAGAGTCTTACATTCACTTGTGCAGCTGTAGCAACATAGATGTCCTTTGTAGTAGTTGTTACATTAATATTTTGATGGACTTTCAAAGCAAGTTAAAAACAAAAAGTAATCGTACTGAGCTCTGAAATATTAAATTTTGATTAATGCAATCCCATGCTTTCTGAATTAATAAGTAACTTATATATCGTGTGTGTGCTGTACGTTTGTTCAATGCAATTGTCTTCATCATTTAATTTGTATTCATCAATGTTTTTATATACAGTATCTATTCATTCCCATCTGTCTACTGATGAACACCCATCTGTCCACCTAATTTAATTATGGCTTTCACTTACTGTCTAGAACATTTCATTATAAAATTAAATACATACCAGCAGTACAACTTCTTGGATATTGTACCTGAAAGTTACTAATACAAATTCATTTGTTTTTTGTTTTTTTTTGTTTTTAATGAAATCTTAGCACCTTTTCCATCGAGAACATTAAATCCTAAATCTGCAGAGGGACATAAAAGAATGAAAAAAAAATCTGGTTCTTTTCAACAGAACTTTATTACGATTGCCCCTTTTTCTGATAAATCCTTACCCTGTCTGTTATCGCAAGGAATTGCTTTTGCACTCAACCACTATCCTCCGTATTGTCTTTTTACATTTGCTAATGTAAAAAGCTGACTTACTGTCTGTCTGGTTGTTCGTCTATCCATCTTGTCAAAGTTTATGAAATCTCTATCTGAAATTGAGTTTCATAACCAAGATTAATTGAGCAAATCTCTTTAGTGCAAGCACCAAATCCTTTTTTCATACTGGACTGTCAGTGATTACTTCTAAATGCTGATGTTAAGTCCCCTACATCTTCCATAAATTTTCTTCGAAATGAAATCCTTGTTTAGTGAGTGGTTGTGGGAGCCTCCTCCTATACCCTAAACTATCACCCTTACCACAAACTGCTCCCTGCTGCCCCCAATCAATTCTGGCCCCCACCTCAACTGACTTGTGTCCAAATGGACTTGGGGCATAGGAGTTGCATGCATAACTCAATTAACACTCGTCAAATTGTCGTTTGTCACCAGGTTTGCTTGTCACTTTCTTGAATCTGGGATAAAGCTCTGCCTGGACCAATGAGGGTGTGGGTAGGGCTATTTAGGGTGCTACAGCCATCTTGATACTACTACCACCCTCCTGCCAACTTTTATTTATTTATTTATTTATTTATTGTCTTTACTCTAATGTCAGCATAAGTGACACACATGACCAATGCCACTTGCAGCCCCACCATCCCAATCAGATTTAGGCTTGCTTTACCCATTCTCCTAGTGCCATTAGTGATATGGCATTGGCACTCATAGCAGAATCCAATCAGACAAATAAGTTTTAAGTGCTTCCAAATTGAGAAAATAGCAATTTTCTTTCATTAACAATGTCACACACATTACCTTATCAGCTGTTTGCCTTTAGCTTTTTTTTTTCTGTGTGTGTGTTGTATATTTTCTGTATTAGTTATTATCTGACAGAGTGAAAATAAAGGGAAGATATTGTTGGATGAGTTGACTATCACCTTCTCCTTGTATCCCCGCTCCCCCAAGAACCTGTGGTCATTTCTTCTGCATTCCCCTTCATCCATCCGGCACATGTGTCCATTATACACACAGGATTCAGATTAACTGTGATGTATAGGATAAAGATCTGCTTTGACAATTTTTCACTCACTTTTCTGTTTAGTGCTACTTGTCACCAATACTATTCACCCTCCTCACCGGAAGAACATCTATTGTTTTTATTATTGCAGTCATTGTATGACCAAAATGGCCTTTTTTTTTTGCCCTTTCTCTATTTATTTATTTGTAACTGTTCAAAGAAATGGAACAGGAAAGAAGATAATTTGATGCTAATGTAAATCAAGTGTTGCAACAATTTGGATATATTAACCTATAATCAAGTTTTGATTCTGACAGGCTGGATAAATTAAAACCACACGTTGTGCCTTGTTCTTTCTTTCTCCTTTGCTTTTTTTTCTTTATTATCTCTACTTCTCTTCTCTCCTACTTTCTTTGCTTTCTACCTTTTCTTCTCCATTATCTTTCTCTCTTAACACTTTTCTTACCTTTACTTCACCCTCTCTCTGTTTCTTTCTTTTCTTCCATTTGTTTTCTTTTCCCATTCTTTTTTGCCATTCTTTCTTTAAAAAAAATTAATAGTAATTATTAATTTTTGACTATTTTTTCTTTTATCTCATTGTTACTTTTGATTACATTGCCAAGGTTGTTATAGTCTATGATGGTTAGAGTAAGCAACGTGAATTGG